CAAAGGACATTAATATACACCTGGGTCAGTTTAGATATATTAATCACAAGTCCTAGTTTCTTGTTTAGCCTTAATTATAAAAGACACCTCAAGAATTTTCAAATGAAATGGGAAGAATTTAAAATTCAAAATTTACAAAGGAGACAAATATGTGGGTGGGAGGTGGCTTCACGTGTTCCCAAGTGTGCCTAGAGTTAGCTTTATGTCTCTTTGCACTTTTTGCTTTCTGTTGGTTACGCAATCCCAATGAGGATATGATCCTTGCATACATATTCCATTATCATCCCTTCTATTTTCGAGTATTTTACCACCCTCACACTTTATCGCCTTTCATTTTAGCTCGAATCCAAGCCCTAATTTTTCAATTCATTTCCCAAAGTCTTGAGGTTGTGAAGGTATTTGATCCAATATCATGAGGAATAAGAATTTAGAATATCATATGTCACAATATTATGTGTATTTATTTAATTTTGGTTCATTCCTTTAATGAGAAATGGCTATTTATACTTGGGTTATTTATTAAGACTCCACCCCCTGTATAAATGCGGGGGGGGGGGGGGGGGGGGGGGGGGTGGAGCCGTAATAGGAATCCGAGATATGTGAATCTCGAAGGATCCGATCCTATTTTTGTGCCCCACTTCATTTGTTTTCTATTCCACTACAATCTCTTAATTCTAGACCCTTCTTACGACGTTAGACCTTGACTTATTAATTGAGTCGAAGACATAACCCTCTAGATTAAATAAGAGACCATTCCTAATTGGGCACCCGGGTGTGTTGATAAAAAAGCCTCAGACTCGGTTTTCATCATAAGCCCCCTAGTTTCTTGCATGAAATGTTTCAAAAAGTTGTTTGACTTTAAACACTCATGGCTTGTTAGCATTTTAAAATTTGTTGATGTGGAATGGTTAGTAGAAATGCCACATATTCATCATTGGGTCTTAGGACTCCAAATTTAGTTGTGTATTAAGTCCCATCGTCACCCTTAGTCGTCGTTCTTCATTATTCTATTTTGTCCTCTTAGAACCAGAATATCCTTGTTGTGTTTGTCCCCTTCGTTTTGCCCTTCAATCTTCTTCGTCCTTCCTACTCAATCGAAGCTTGGAACCTTAACAATGACGAAAATGGCCCCAAAACTGGAGTCTAGACCCACCACCATCTGAAGGCACGAACTTGTCGAAATGCAACAAATCTTTGGAAAGAGTGTGGAGGTTCGATATCTAGAGAACTTTTTTCTAGTCAACAACCATAAGCCCTCCTAGAAACTACGCACACCTCTAGAGGGGGTGAAAAGATTTTTTGCCTACTTTGGTCAATTTTTGTGAAATTGATCTTTCAAGCACTAGCTCTCGCAGTAATAGTCACAAAATCAAACGAGCATCAAACAAATAATATGATATAAAGCAATAATGAACACCACGATCTACACTGGTTCGTCATCTAGTCCCCGAGCTACCCTATTTGAGCCTTCACTAACCACCCCACCAAATTTAGCAATGTCCGGAAAATTGATAATGCAAGAACATGATTTTACAAGCATCTTATCTTTCCACCAATGACCTTATTTCACAAGTCACGAGATTTCTTCCACCCAAAATTGATTTCACAAACAAATTTGATTTTTATCCTAACAAACTAGTGTAACCCCAACACCAAGATTTTACACCCTTTCGAAAAGAATAGAAAACAAACCACATCAATTGATGAACTCTCAATGAGTAAGTTGCTGAAATACAATGAAGATCCTATAGATTATAGTAATATCGACTCTTGGATGCTCACCCAACGAGGATAGAACTCAAGCATAAAAAATTTTAATCAACAATGAACAAAGACTTGGATAGACGATGTATACTAGATAATCTTTACTCTAAAGAGCCAGGAATAATTATTATAATAATTTTGTGGTTTGTTCTTGAAGATAAAATGGGGATCATTTATATAGATCTAACGACAAAATATACATTACACGGCGGATAAAGAGAGCTTTAGAGATTTGGAATCTCCCATGCCTAGCTTGTCCTTGGTAGAGATGTCTTAGGTGTAGGATTATATAGTACGCCTTCATACTCTCGTGATGTTTATGAAGATCAGAAGTCATCGTAGCCAACATGAAACATGCCACCTCAATGTCATTATGAACATGCTTCTCGTAAGCATCGTTAATCGCTCAAGGAGCGTTGGCGGCTAGGGCAGGTGGAATGGCTCGTTCGAGCACGTACTCTTTCTTCTCAAGTCGAAGAACAATAACGAGGTTTCTTTGCCAGTCTAAGAAGTTAGAGCCAGTCAATTTGTATTTGTTGAGGATTGAGCAAAGAGTAAGGTTATGGTTGCTATTACCCATCTACATATAATTTGCAAGATAGTTAATATCAAAAATCTAATTAATTAGCTAGGTCTTTAACTAATAACTCTCCCACTATTTTTCCAAATCAACTACTCTTAAGTACGTAACTTGTTGATTGGAGATCACTCTTAAAGAGATATCTTAGTGGGCCAAGGTCCATATTACATTTAACTATAGTTGTGCTTTGCATCTTGCCCTATAGTTAAACTAATCAGGTAGGAACCTATTTCCAATTGTAATCCAATTACAATCCTTGGTTTGCTGGGTTCTTCTAAATAAAATCCTATATTGGGCCTAGATCCTTATTTCATCTCCATAGTTGTGCTTTGCATCTTGCCCTATAGTTAAATTATTTCAGGTAGGAACTATTTCTAGTTGTAACATTTTACAACTCTAGGTTAGATAAATTTGATTTTATTTATTAACTTAACCATGTGCCTCTAGGTTATTCATCCTTTTACCTTAATTTATTTAATTCCAAACCGGGGTGTACTCAGTATCCATTGTTACGGATTTTGCGCCATACCAATGTTAACTAGGCGTCTCGCTTTGGCATGTCTGTTGACTGGTTGAAACTGGTAATGACTAGTGAGTAGGCGTCGGAAGGCATATACTTAATATTACAATGGATTTTAAACGTGGTCTCACCTATGGTATATTCCGTGCACATACATTAGCGAACATCATTCAATCATACATTCAAACATACAAACATGCATAATGAATAAAACGTGACATGGTTGTGGCCTCCTAAATAAACTAACGATAAAGCCTTAACTTGAGATCTCTATCTCCACCTTCACCCTCTTCCTTTAAAATGCTTCAGCCTTCAAGTTCAGAGCATCTTGCTAATGTCCTCTTCTTCTTGGATCCTGCATCTTCCTTGCTTCTTCATGGACTTCTTTGTTTAATCAAGAGAAAAGAATTCTTGCTTTGTAAGCAAGGAGTATGAGGTTTAAGAAGAGATTTACAACCAAAATTTAGAGATGAGAAACAACACCCACGCTGTATTTAAAAACAACACATTATAAGCCACAACCATGCACCATGCAAACATACATACATCACATGCATAAAAATCCATACACCAGGCAAGTTGCGCTCGCCCAAAACCTAGTTTATTCTAACAAAAGTATACTACAAGCCTAAAAACTATCACATAATTTTATTTAAGTTTTCTTTTAAAAATCCAGAATATCCAAAATTTAATTTTGAAATTTCCTGAATTTTAAAATACTTAATTGACGTTAATACATGTATTAATTTTGAAATTGGGAATTTAATTCGAAATAAGTACTTATACATTTTTAAAATTAATAAATAAACTCTAGAATGTGTTTTCCAATTTTATATGTCTGAAAATAAAATGTCCTGAATTTCTAAATTTATTTTATAAATTATTTATTTAAATAGCCTTAATTCAAATTTAATTTTCCAAAAAATAATTTCGACTTTCAAAATATTAATATTCTATAAAACTATTTATTTTAGGTAAGTATCATCCTGAAAATTAAACTTCCAGATTTAAATAAATTTTATTTTTGGTATTTTGGAATTTGTTTTTAAAAGTGTTAAATTAATTTCCAAAAATAATTTAGAATATTCCAAATATTCAAAAAATAATTTTTTTCAAAAAATATTTTTTTGACTCATATAAAATCTGAAAATAGAATTTCCATGTTTTTCCTAAATTTTATTTTCAGTACTTTCTATTTATTATTTGGTAATTCATAAAAACAAGTTCTAAAATTTTTCTTCGTACATCATAAATATTCAAAAAACCAGTATGCTCAGAATATTATGATTTTATTACAAAATCTTAAATTTAAATAATTTTAAATTAATTATGTAATTTCAGGAATTAATTAGTGAATTTCCAAACAGCGTTTTTTCCAAAAACTTAATACTTAAATATTTAAATCACAGATTTAATCCCAAAAACTTAAATACATTCTGAAAATCATATTTTCAAATTTATAAAATCACAATTCTGAATTTAATAATCTTATTCAATTTAATCTCTATTAATACCAAATTAGATGATTTTAAACCGAAAAGTAGAAAATCAAATCCGAAAATTAATTTTCATTTTCCACAATCATATTTCAACATTCTAAAAAGATTAAAAGTATTTTACATAATTTCTTTTTGTATTTATCTTGTAATTAATAAAAATAACTACAAATCAAATAATACCTTATAAATTAGGAAAGAAATTCTAAAAATTAATTTTAAATTCCTAGAGATCTTAAAATCATATTTTAATGCCTCAAATTTAATAAAATTTAATTTTTGTATTTTCAAATTATTTTCAATTGATTAAACTATTTTTAACCTATCAATTCGGAAAATAAAAAAATCCAAATTTATTTCAAAAATCATATTTTCGAATTTTATAAAGTCCAGAATCGTATTTTGGCAGTTTATTGAATTTTTGATAATTTTCAAAAATAGACACACATATATTGTATTTTATTAATTAACAAAAACCCTAACGACAATCTAATCTACAAAACTTATAATTTACATAAGTCGGCTCCGATACAACCGTTGGGTTCTACGCTTGGATAGGGCGGTGGAAATATAAAGTTTTTGTCCAAACGTAGATCCACCCAAGACGTCTTTGCTTATTATAAGTTATTGTTAAGGAATTATACCTTTTTTGAGACTGCCAAGGTGGCTAAGCGCTGGGGGGAGTACTTTTGTGAACTCTTAAATGCGGGAGGAGAGCAGAGGCTAGTTCTTGATGAGCTGGGGCAGTCCGGGGCGTCTCGTGTATATTGCCGGCGCATTTGCCTGGAAGAGGTGGTTCGGGCTCTCCGCGGGATGCGTTGTGGGAGAGCTTTGGGACCAGATGAGATTCCGGTGGAGTTTTGGAAGCATGCGGGTCATGGTGCGTGGGTTTGGTTAACCAAACTCTTCAATGTCATCTTCCGGACAGCAAGGATGCCGGATGAGTGGAGGGAGAGCCTCTTGGTCCCCCTGTTTAAAGGCAAAGGTGACATCCAGAGCTGCGAGAATTACAGAGGCATCAAACTGCTTAGCCACACCATGAAGGTTTGGGAGCGAGTCATTGAGTATAGGGTGCGGAAAGGGGTATGCATCTCTGAGAACCAGTTTGGTTTCATGCCTGGCAGATCGACTACAGAGGCCATTCACCTCGTGAGGAGGTTAATGGAAGAGTATAGGGCTAGGAAGAAGGACCTTCATACGGTGTTCATTGATCTCGAGAAGGCGTACGATAGGGTGCAAAGCGAGGTCTTATGGAGGTGCCTTGAGACGAGAGGAGTTCCCATCACGTACACTCGCGCGATCAAGGATATGTACGATGGGGCTATGACTAGGGTAAGGACCTTCGGGGGCGACTCTGAGTCATTCTCGGTAGGGATGGGGTTGCACCAGGGGTCTGCCCTTAGCCCTTTTTTGTTCGCCTTGGTGATGGACGTCCTAACTCAAGGTGTGCAAGAAGGGGTCCCATGGTGCATGCTTTTCGCAGATGATATTGTGCTTATCGACGATACACGTGAGGGACTAAACGATAAGTTGGAACGATGGCGCCTTGCCCTTGAGACTAAAGGGTTCAGAATAAGTAGGAACAAGACTGAATACATGGAGTGTCGTTTCAGCGGCAGGGAAACAGAATCAGAGGTGGAAGTTAGGATTGACTCTCACCTAGTACCTAAGTTAGACAGGTTTCGATATCTTGGCTCGGTAATCCAGGCTGATGGGGAGTTAGACGGGGATGTTGGACATCGTGTTGGAGTGGCTTAGCTTGGGCCAAATGGCGGTTGGCTTCAGGGGTATTGTGTGACCCGAAGATTTCGCCCAGGATGAAAGGCAAGTTCTACCGATCCGTAGTCAGACCTGCTATGTTATATGGGGCAGAGTGTTTGGCGGTTAAGAAGACTCATGTGCGTCGTCTGCATGCGGCGGAGATGCGGATGTTACGATGGATGTGTGGGAAGACAAGGTTGGATAGGATTTCGAACGAAGTTATCCGACGTCAGGTAGGCATGGCGCCGGTGGAAGATAAATTGCGGGAAGCGAGGTTGAGATGGTTTGGTCATGTGAGACGGCGGGATGCTGACGCCCCTGTACGGAGATGCGAGCGGATTACGGTTATTGGGGGAAGTAGGAGAAGGGGTAGACCTAAGAAGAATTGGAAGGAGGTGATTAGACATGATTTAGGACTTCTCACCCTGACTAAGGATATGGTTTTAGATAGGAACCTTTGGAGAACTAGGATTAGAGTAGCTGGTTAGGAACTCGGTGCTACAGAGGTTTTTTGTAGTGTGTTGTGTTTGATTGGAATCTTCTATTAATGCTTGTAGAACTTCTTTTCATTGTACTTGGTGTTTTACCTATGCTATACTGTGTACCTTATCATATTTTTTTGTGCAGGTTGAGCCGGGGGTTTCTTGGAAACAGCCTCCCTGCTTCCGAGTAGGGGAAAGGTCTGCGTACACACACCCTCCCCAGACCCTACTGTAGTGGGATCCAACTGGGTTGTTGTTGTTGTTGTGTTTGTTTTAAGGAATTATACCTTTCCTTTAGCAACAAGCAACGTTGTGTGCGACTGACGAGATAAACCTACACGTTGGACGCTATTTTTGTCATGGGCTGAATTTGCTTTGAATACTTGCTATCATTCGGGATTAAAAATTTCCCCTTTCCAAGCATTGTATGGGAGAGAGCCACCGTCCATTTTACCATATTCCCCTGGCGAATGTGGACACCATGTTGACGGAGTACACACGTCTTTTACTATGCCTTCGGGCAAACCTCGGTGAAGCTCAGGAGTAGATGCAAGCTTCAACGAATAGCCATCTTCGTGAGGTCGAGTTTGAGGTGGGTGATTTGGTCCACCTCAAGTTCAGCCATACTACCAACATTCCGTGGCTCGCACGCCGCACCAGAAGTTATCCAGATAATATTATGGGCCGTTTCAGGTGTAGAGCGTGTTGGGAACGTTGCCTACCGCCTTCAGCTGCCCGACGAGTCCAAAGTTCATCCACTATTTCATGTCTCTGTATTACGGCTTTTTCATGGTGATTCCAGTGCCGTACAAACCCTTCCTTTACCTACGGATTTGGTGGATGGCAAACCACCGTCGCAGCTGGTTTGGGTGCAAGCTTTTCAAAGAACAATGGTGGGGAGTGTACGGGTTCGTCAAGCTTTAGTGGAATGGACCGATGGGGGTGTCCAAACAGCCACTTAGGAACTGGTGACGTCCTTGCACCACCATTTCCTCGATCTACACCTTGAGGACAATGTGGATTTGCAATCGGGGAGGGATGTTATGGATCCTAGTACCACCGAACCCATACAATTAATCGACGGAGGTCAACCAAGGAGAGGATGTCGGAGACCATGGTTCGGGTACGATAGAACATGACGGTAGTGTTACCCATAGCAACGAGAATGCAGTGATACAACAAAGAGCTTGAGTTAGAAAACCACTTAGCATGGCATAACAATTACACAACATGAGGCTCCGGATAGTTATTGCTCTTTTATTATTTAATAATAATTAAAAATGTACGTAGATTTTATTAGGTGAGCATGTTATAAGCTGCTTCGAGGGTTTCTTTACAATTCTTTACCTCGTTGCTTTATGTGGCAAGTTGAGTTTGCAATTTGAGTTTAATAAAATTTTAAAATGTTAATGAGTTGTTCTTTCACATGACAAAAGTAATGATGCTATTCCAGTGATGTGACATTCAATATTATATCATTTCTAGACTCTGTTGCAATAGATAAAGTTTTGGAGACATATATCTTGCGAGTTCCTTCGCACCTATAGAGAAACAAAACATTACTTATATATATATATATATATATATATATATATATATATAGGGGTGAGATCAGGTGAGAAGGCTCATTGGTGAGAGAAAAAAGAATGATTTTCAGGCCTTGGATCTTGTTGATCACACGGCTGTGGGGGGTCCAAGTATTTTAAATAGCCAATTTTTTTAAAAAGAAAAGGAAGGATGCAGTGCATTAAAAAAGGGAAGACAACTGTACGAAGGGTATTATGGTCTCAATGAATGAATAATTACTCGCTGCTATGGCGGAATAGTCGCATCTGTCTCACATCTCTACGTTCTAGGGAATCGATGCACCATCTCTGATCTTCATCATTTTGTTTCCGCTTCTCGATTAGAAAATAAATTCATCATCTCCAGCGATGTCCGATTCCATAGCTTCTACTCTCCAGTTCCTTTTCAAGCTATGGCGTTTGAATCTGAACATGATATGTAGGTATTTTCATCCATTTTAGGGTTCATATATTAAATTATTGGAGGGGCACAATTGTGGGTTAAGGTAGATGTTTTCAGAATTTGTTCGTAATTGAGATGATTGGTTAAACTTTTCCTCTCTGGATTTTCTCAACACAGTGTTCATGTTCACTGGAGTACTTTAATAGTAAGAAGTGCAACATAATTTCATTATGGTGCATTCTTCACCGACAGATAGTGCATCATGCACCTGTTGTGATACAGCTTTTAGAAATTGTGTTGTTCTGGAAAGATGAAATAATGAATCCTTATGGAAGAACATCATTTTTATCAATGAGCTATAATCCAACCCTTTGCTATAAAGGGCCAAATTAATTAAATTTTGTTGATATAAAGGGCTAGATTATATTTATTTTTAGGTGGTTAATAATATTTACTATAAAGGGTTGAATTATAGTCCATCAATTTTTATGTTTTATACGAAAGTTGATGTATGAAGTTTATTATATGCGTTATATAAGAATTATGTTTATATAATTATTTATGCATGAGCATGATATGACGTATGTCCTACAATTGAGATTGATGTTGAGTCATATGTTTATGAAGATGAAGCTGAAGAAGATGCAAATGTAACAAGAAGATGATGCAACTGTACATGATATGTACATGATGATGGTGCATACAAACCTGTAGAGGATGCATTAATAAATTTAAGGGGCATTGAGACACATTGGTGATATGATTTAGCGGAGTGATTATATTGTAACGTGTAGTTTTTAGTTTTTTAGAATGGTGTTACTTTCTATTTGTTATATGGCGGGGACATCTTTTGATGTTGTGTTGGAGACTATTTTTGTTTTTGTGCTTGACCTTATCTTCTTTTTCTGTAATATGTATTATTTTTTTATACATATTCATTGTTATGCTAAAATTTCAAAAGAGTGCACCATAGTTTGTTGAAGAATGCACCATAATGCTTGTTGAAGTGCATTATAACACAACGCGAGTGAAACCTACACGAGTTCATCTAAATTTTTTATAAGCGAGACAAAAAGCTTGAACATTAGTATTACAACTAAAACATAAATTAAATATTTTATTATAGAGTTTAAAGTGCATAGATGATAAAATGTCCCCTATGTGTAAAAAGAACATATATAATAAAAACATGTGTTTTAAAGTGTTAAATAGTTAGAAATATAGAATGGAATGAGGCGATGAAATGAGATAGGTTTTTTAAGCTATATGGATGTGGACAATGTATGCTTAAAGTAAAAATAATACCATTACAATAGTGAAAATCAAACCATAAGGATAAAAATTAAACAACACAACATATCATTCATAGTCTAGAGAAAAACACATTTTTTCTTAAATGGATGTTGTAAATTTGTGTTAGTCTTACAAAAGTACAAGTTGAAAATAAGCCCTAATTTAAAACATAAGATTTAGAAGAAACATTGTTTAGACTTTAGAGAGAATTCTTGGATCCTCAATCTCCCTTTCACCCGTGAACTCTATGTAAACATGCGCAACTTGTTTGCCGGCTTTTTCAGTTGTGCATTCCTTATTCGACGACTCCCTTACGAATCAAAGATGCAATTTTTTAGATGTCATTGCTGTATCATTTTCTTTATATTTAAATGCATCTTTTCTTATCCCATCTGCACCATATACATATAGAAAAGTTAGAGTTTATCCATGCAAAATTTTATATTTATTCATCCATACCATAAATTCATTGGAACTAAAGAACTCATGTATGTTGTTCTAACATGAACACTGAGCAAGATCTATCAGAATGTAACACCAACCCACTATAATGCATCTCAAAATGCCTCTTAAACACATGAAGGTATTTTTGTGACATTGAAAAGTAGTGCATTCACAATATGGGTTGGTGCATTTCAAATTACTCGCTTACTATGACCTACACCTCTTTAGCAAGAAATAAATAAAAAAATCTAGTGATTCCTATGCCAAAGATGATGCACTTTAGTCTCTTAACTATGCACAATATATTACCCACAAAATCTAAGAACCCTAAAAGCAATATTTTTTTGTTAACAAAAGTATCACCTCTTTTGAATCATTGTTTTTAACAAAATATGAAAAACCAAACCCATTCAAGGCCCCGACCTTAAATAAACGTCATTCAAACCTATGCAAAAAATTAAAAGAACTTAGCAAACAACGATAGTTTGATAGCGCCGCTCTGCACTTGCAATGTCATAGGAAGGGGGTGTGCTTATCTCACGTCCATCTCCTTCCAAACACTCGGTTGACAAATGCGCTGTCCAAGCAAATTTGTAGGAAGGACTTAATCCCATTGGCCAATAATCTGATGCATTACAGTATACCTTTAATGCACAATTGAAGGAAAAACCATAACTGAACAATAGAGCAAGATAAGTGTATAATACACAACAAACTTAAAAACATGAGGCACGAGTTCATAGAGATAATGAATCACAAACAAATCAAATGAATTCTTATCAAAAAAATAAACAAATATGCAGTAAAAATTATCGAATTGCTTAAGAAATCATACCTGAATCTATACAAAGATTAGACCAATTTGATTTACTGTAAATGAGCTATTAGGTGCAAAAATTCTAAGGCCTCTACATATTGTAAAATTTAAATCACCACACATAAGCAAATTCATATATATGAAAATCATAGACATGAATATAGGAAACTGAATCCCTTCGTACATGAGAAATTGGTGATTGCAAATCATGACGAAATCGTAGAGAGTACAATCCAAAAATTATCGAGTACAACCCAAATTATTAGAAAATGCCACATCGCACCCAAATTGCTAATCATTAAATTAGATAAAAAAATCAAATCAACCAAAATTACAATACTAGTAGTTTGCACCAAAGACATCTTTGGAGCATTTTGTCAAACATGTGGTGTGCAATCTTTGGTGGTATGACTTGGGAAAATCTTCGAGGCATTTTGTTAAACATATCATACTTTACAAATCAAACAATCTGGATTCCACAGGATGTGCACTGAAGTGTTATACTAATTCACTAAAATACATATTATGCTTTACAAATTAGTCTAGAGTCTACATAAAATGCATTACAAATACGTTATAATGCACAGAAGAGTCATTATAATGCACTAACGATTTTTAAATCAGTTTCAAGTCCATCTAAAAAACAATGACAGAAACCATGTTATATCTATGAGAAAAATTGAAATAAAAGGGAGTAAAAAAAGTCTTAAGATAAAAAAATTGCCTTTATTTTGAACAAATATGGCACAAATACCTTAAATTGTGTATACCAAGACCAATAACTGCTGAATGAAGTCAAATTCTAAAACTTCCTACAATTTTTAGGTATGCCAAAACCAATAGCTGCTTCAGAATCTCATCCCTCGCTGCATCTGCACTCATGCCCCATCCACCGCAACCTAACTTTTCAACGGTAGCCTCACCGCTGCACCTCGTCGTCGTCTCTCCTTCCCTTTTCCGGTTCGCTGTTGCGAGAAATCAGGGATGAGAATGCCTCACGATGGTTTGCGTTTTAACAAAGTGCCGTAAAAGACTTCTATGCCCTGGCGATAAGATTGATATCTCATTAGATCTGACGATTTATATTTATTCTTATTTCTTTCATTAGATCCCTTTCTCACCGGAACCAAACTCTATATATATATATATATATATATATATATATATATATATATATATATATCCACAAAATGCATTATAGCGTCATATGTTGCTTCTTGTCATTTAGTGTACCTAAAAGGGTTATATTCACACTTGCCAAACCTACATGATCATTATTACGTGTGTGTGTGCATGAACACGCAAGTCCTATACTATAAATTTGGACTTGCAAATTCTAGATTCTTGAATACATTTACGAAGTATTTCTTTTTTTAATACTCATTAATCATATTATTTATAAAGATACAATTAGCCTAATTGTAAATAATCACTTTGTAGAAATTAAGACTTTTTTATTTTCGTCCCATTATTTTATTTAGATGAATTTTAAATTAAAACTTATTCTCCATCTATTCATATTTAATTGTTCGATTCGATTTTCGAACTTAAAGTTTGCATTAACAATATCTCTTAAAATATATTAGCAAAAAATATTAAAAACAATACGTTTAAAATTTTTTCAATATCAATAATTTGGTATAATTTTATTCTTTTATTCATTGTATATTTTTATATACAGTTAGTCAAATTGGTTTACATATTAGTTTTTGAAAAAAATAACATTTATTTTGTAATCTTAAAATTAAATGTCATCTTTTTCTTTATACCGATAATAAAGAATATTACGGAGTATACTATAAGTAACCATTTATATATTACCATAATGGTACACGAAATATTACCATTTATATATTATTCATTATGTAAAGAAAATAAGGAATATTATGTTGACTTTAATATTTCCACTTTTTTAACATACATATAATAATAAAACACATTAATATATTACCATAAAATGCACACATGTCATATATAATCCAAAGTCAATGGGTGGGAAAATAAGTTCAACATTTTCCCTACTTTTAAATAAAGTATTGATTACTTCTACTATCTTCAAAAAAAAGAAAAGAAAAAACAAGAAAAGAAAAGCTAGGGAGATAGCGTATGTAGGAAAAATATAGATCATATAAATATTAGTGAAGGGTAGAAATCAAGAATGGATCGCCTATCTTCATTATCATCCTTGAAAAAACAACGATCTTTGTGGATATCCACCGCCGATGCAGACGAGGAACACTGGCCAATACTATTGGGCAACCACCACCGTCACGACGCATCGCCTTCATCTTCTAATGAGAACTCTCCAGTGATGAGGCGCTCGTCGTCCCTAATTCATAATAATTACAATAATAATTCCCATGACGGAGATAGTGGGGAGGTCATCGTCAAAATAGACCGAGATAGCAATCAAAGCGGTGACATTCTCCACAACGATGGCAGCGAGGAGTTTGAATTCCAGCATAACGGCAGTAAGGATGTGGCAGAGGACCCGCCGTCGAGGCTGATCGGCCAGTTTCTCAACAAACAGAGGGCGGCCGGGGGAGAGATATGTCTGGACATGGACATGGAAATGGATGAGTTGCGCGATAGCAGCTCGGGTGCATGTGCATGTTCCCTCGTTAGTTTTCCTCCCCACGAACCCTATTTCTCTAATCGCTACAAAAGCAATCGGATCTCCGCATCCAAAGATCTCAAAGTTCAATTCATTGAAGAGAATTCGGGAGATTCAACGCCTCCCAACAGCAGAGTGGTCGATATCGCCCTCGATCATCACCAACAAAATCATTCTCCATCATCTTCGTCGTCATCATCTAATGATGACGACGATGATGAAGAGATGATGGAGCCGCCTCAACAACAAAAACAACAACGTAGTAGGAGAAGAACGTCAGGCAGCATGACTTTCAGCTTTAACAACAACAAGAACGTTGTTGAGGGGAGTAGAGGAGGAGATGGCCATGTGGTGAAATGCACCTCCTTCCAGAGGAGGGGCAGTTTCATGGCGGGGAGAAGGATGATAAACAAAACAAAGTCAAGGCTAATGGATGACATTGTGGTAGTCCCGGACGTGGTAGTTTCAGAGAAGAAGTCTGGGAGGATATTTGGGAAATCATCTGTTCAAACCATGAGGTCTTCCGGACTGATGATGGGAAAGTCGCCCGAAGAGGAGGAAGACGATCCTCTTTTGGACGACTTTGACATCCCAGAGGAATTCAAAAGTTCCAAGATAGACGCGCTCACCCTGGCACAATGGATCAGCTTGGTGGTCATTGTGACGTCTTTGGTATGCACCCTTTGCTTCCCTAGCCTCAAGGCCTACAGAATGAGGGGCCTGAGGCTCTGGAAGTGGGAGGTCCTCATTCTGGTGTTGATATGCGGGAGGTTAGTATCAGGATGGGCCATCAGGGTGGGCGTGTTTTTTATCGAGAGGAACTTTCTACTGAGGAAGAGGCTGTTGTATTTCGTGTATGGGGTGAGGAAAGCGGTGCAGAACTGCATGTGGCTGGGGCTGGTGCTCATCGCGTGGCACTCCATGTTTGATAAGAAGGTGGAGGGGAACAACGACTTCCTCCAATCTGTCAACAAGATCATGGTGTGCATGCTAATCGGCATCACCCTTTGGCTACTCAAGACTCTCATGGTTAAAGTACTGGCTTCTTCATTCCACGTTAGCAAATTCTTCGACCGTATTCAGGAGTCGCTGTTCAACCAGTATATCATCGAGGCTCTGTCGGGTCCCCCTTTGAACGAGATACACAGCCAGCAGGAGGAGGAGGACAGGGCGATGGCGGAGGTGTGGAAGCTTCAGGATGCCGGGGCGAAGTTGCCCCCGGAGCTTAAAGCATCTGCTTTTAAGCACCTAAAGAGCAACAACTTTAGCAGGGTGGTTGATCACGGTGGTGGTGGTGGAGGGGCGACGCCAACAAAAATCTCTGGCATCATATCCACCAGAAGTGTGGCGGAGGAGGCAGAGGAGCATGAGCATCATCAAGGGATAACAATTGATTTTCTACATAAGTTAAACCCGAGGAACATTTCAGCATGGAACATGAAGAGGTTGGTGAAAATGGTCCGGCACGGGGTGCTGTCTACGCTGGATGAGCAAATCCATTGCACGGCACAGAAGTACGAAGCCAACCAGATCAGGAGCGAGTGCGAGGCTAAATTGGCTGCCAGGAAGATATTTCATAATGTGGCCAAGCCCAAGTCCAAGTAATAATAATAATAATAATAATAATAATAATAATAATAATAATAATAATAATAATAATAATCATCATCATCATCTATCCATCAACAGTTATAGTATTAGTAGATTCATACATAATGAACGCGTGTCTTTGATTCATATATATTTCATGTATTTATCCTCAGCTCCATCTACTTGGACGACTTGAGGCGCTTCTTGCGACAAGAGGAAGCAGTGCAAGCCATGAATCTTCTGGGCGGATCGCGCGATTGCAGAAGGATCAGAAAAGCGTCCCTTAAAAATTGGGTGGTAAGTCTCCCCTCTTATTATCATCCATATATTATAGATATCCCTCCATCTAATTAATTCCCACTGCACAGTGAGCTGAGTACTAATTCATGTCATTGGATTCTCACATACTCGAATCAACACTTATCTACACCCTTGGATCCAACTTATCTTCAAGGATATGGAATTAGTTTTAAGAAAAATGAGTAAATTTTATATATACTAATCCTTCCAAAAATTTGTGATGAGGTGTTTAGCAAGGGGCTAGCTTGTGCCACATCGTATTACTTGTGATTTTCATCACTAGTTATCCATTTCAAGGGAGGGAATTATGCTATTATTAGGGTGAGTACAATGCCTAAACAATTTCTTTAAAGATTAAAGAAGCTCCTCGAGAGTAGTTCTTTACTATTTATTGGCAATCAACTATCCACAACCAAGCTAAATGCTTGGATATTGGTGTGTCAATACATGGGCGAATTTTGTCATAGAAAAACAAAAGTGAGAAGTAACTAACCACGTTGTTTTGAATTGATACACTTCCAAATTACAATGTCTTATTACTCACTTTCTTTAACTACTTTTTTACCATGAACAACATGGATTGGTTTATTTATTTTATTTTTGAGTAAATTTTGTAAATGGTCACGAATTATGAATGAGTTTTCATATTTAGTCCCTAGTTCTTAGATATTCCATAAATGGTCCTCAATTTTATGAAACGATTTCATAATTAGTCCTTTAGGCCAAATATGAGAGAATACTTTTTCCAAAAATAGCCCCTGAAATACCGATTATGGAATAGTTCTAAAAAATTGAAGACCATTTATTTAATATCTACCAATTGAAGACTAAATATGAAAAACTACCCTTTTATTAGAAACCATTTATTAAATTTACTCTTTATTTTTTGAAAAAATTAGAGAGATAAATTATTTTTGGTATTATGAGGAGTACTTCGTCAATTATTCTAGGAAGAGAATTGCTTGAAAAAATAATTGGTTCGGAGTGATAGATAACATATCAATCTCAAGCAAGGTTACCACCTTAGCTTAGCTTTGTTTTCAAAACCACCTTAAGTCCTTATCAAGTGCTTGGGGGTTTCGTTATTCATCTCCATAATTGATAGTTTACGCCGAACATGTTTCCATGTGGTAAAACACACGTACAATTGATGAGGATAATTGTTTATCTTTATTTGCCACATAAATATTTTGTTTACTTTTGACATTGTAGGTTAATGTGTTCAGAGAAAGAAGAGCATTAGCACTAACGTTGGACGACACAAAAACAGCGGTTAAAAAGTTGCACCAGATGGTGACGGTGTTGGTGGCGGTCATCATTTTCCTCATCAGCCTGGTAATCCTAGGATTTGTAACGGGAAGGGATCTTATGTACATAAGCTCCCAGGTGGTCATCGTGACATTCATTTTTGGGAACCAATGCAAGAACGTGTTCGAGGCAATCATATTCTTGTTCGTGATGCATCCGTTCGACGTGGGGGACAGATGCGAGGTGGACGGAGTTGAGATGGTGGTGGAAGAGATGAACATCTTGACAACTGTGTTCTTGAGGTACGACAATCTGAAGGTACACTTCCCGAACAGCACGCTAGCAATGCGGCCCATAGGGAACTTCTACCGGAGCCCGGACATGGGAGACTCAGTGGACTTCTTGGTCCACATAGCGACGCCAATGGACAAGATAAAAGTGATGAACCAGAGGATAGTGAACTTTGTGGAAAGCAAGAAGGAGCACTGGTATTCGTCCCCCATGGTGGTGTTGATGAACATTGAGGATATGAACAAGCTGAAAATGTCAGTGTTGCTGAGACACAAGATGAACTTCCAAGACATGGGAGAGAGGTGGCTGCGACGCGCTCAGCTGGTGGATGAGATGGTTAAAATATTCAAGGAGATGGACATAGACTACCGACTCTACCCTGTCGACATTAACGTTCGGGCGATGCCCACCATTCAGTCCACCCGACACCCACCTAAGTGGCAGCCTCCCTCCATCCCAGATCCATCCGTTTGATGTACGTACCTGTATTGGCCTATGCTTCCAAATTATATTCTTCAACTTCCACAATATGAATTCAAATTGAACTCTCAAACCATTTTTGATAGTTGTATATATTTAGATGTTCACTAAAGTGGAATTCTTAAAACCATTTGAAAAACTTGTGTTTCAATTCAGTTGGTGGATTAGTTTTCTACTCCATTTTACTTTACTTAGTAGTATGAAGTATAAAATACTCCGTAGCTAGTTTTTTCTTCAACCACTTGCCTATAATTAACAAGCACCCATGTGCGGTGGTTTTTTGTGCCAAAAGTGCAATTTATTCCCTTTAGATTACATTTTAAAAACGATAAAACTAAATGTTAAAATTGTTTTCAAAAATCCATTTTCCTGTTAGCTCTACTTTTTTTCACGTTGAGAGACTATGTGATGTAAACAATTGCGAGAGCTTTTTAAAAAGGAGAGAGTCGGACGAAAAGATTTCAAAGGATTATCTTGTTTTCCGATTCAATTAGCTATGGTGGACTCAAACAAGCACACATATTGCAGTAAAAAAGGTGTGTCCATACTCTCATGAAATTAAATTCATTTGTTTAGCTGACATTAATCTCAACATCTCATTTCCTTGGCAAAAAAAAACTACTCCATCCACACCGTCCCTAAAAAAAACTACAAATTTTACTCTATCCATTTTCATTAAAACTACTCCCTCCGTTCTCAAAAACACTTCCTCTTTCATTTTTTCCACTTCCAATAAAACACTTCCCCTTTGTATTAAAAAACCACTTTTACCCTTACTTTTTCATACCCTACCTATCACATCATACTTTTTCTTTAATAATCTATCCATCACATCTTACTTTTACCCATCACATCAGGGGCATAATTGAAAATTAACTATAATTCAACACTTCCTTATTTTTGCCCTAAATCAAAGTGTGAAGGGTTTTTCCAAACGGAGGGAGTAGTATTTTTATCCATGCGACGCATGAGGTCGAATGAAATTTTTGTGTTTTCCCAACATTTAAACATATAATAATTTTTCAAAATGATCCTTTCTTATTAACTTTTTTCTATCTCAGATATCCGTGATTATAATTACTCCGTATAATTTTATTCCAATTTTTCATTTAGGGGCACCCCAATATTTTGTGCCTCTCTTTTAGGTTCTCAGGTTTACGTTGGTGAATTTTGAATGAGGATGATCTCACCTGTGATCCCCCACTTCATGTTTATGAAGAATTTTGATGAAATTCATGTTTGAAAAAATGGTTTCTTCATATAAATCCCATGCAACTATATTTTTTGTGCTTTTTCAAAAGTAATTGTAGTAATTTCAATGATGTCAGGAGTGAAATACCTATGATTATTTTATATATTTTTTTGAATTTTTCGTTGTGAAAACCCCTGCGACTATATTTGTTTTTACCTTTTCAAAATAAATTAATAACAAGTGCAAGAATTTTCGAGGGTAAAATACTTGTGATTATTTTTATGTTATAATTTTCAAAATTTTATATGAAAAAATGTAACTATATTTCTTATCTTACTTTTTTGAAAATAAAATCACTTGACAATTCATGAAAAACTCGATTGTAAAAAAAAATGTGATTGTTTTTAATTTTTAGAAAAATATGCTTTTTTGTCAAATATGTCAAATGTGACTATATATATATATATATATATATTTTAAAGAGATAACTTTATTGAATGCCAAAGCTCCATCAAGAACAAGGACAATATAGTCAAACCACAACAAACCACCATCCAAGGAGTGATAGGCATTACAAATCATCCTTCACTCTAATGCATGGTAGTAGTAATAAAAAGATTAAAAAAACTTAGCATGGAAATAAAATAAAAATAAACGATTAACCCCACCTTATATATATATATATATATATATATATACATATTATACTCCCTCCATCCCATAAAGATTGGGACGGTTTGACTAAAGTGGTAAAATAAAGAGGGATAATTTTGTGTTGACTTTCTAAAAATTACCCTTGATGTGATGGGTAAAAAGTAGGATGTGATGTGTAAATTATTAGAAAAAAGTATGATGTGATAGATAGGGTATGAAAAAGTAGAGTAATTTACCAACATATGTAACCCAATAAAAATCGATTCCTGGCAGTGTAAGTCAGAGATTTTTTTCCTTACAGTGCAAGACAGATTTGGCTACTCCGTTTCCACCCGGTTTTTTATTCCAAACGGATTAGCCAAATCCGTTTCATCTAATTTTAAAAAAATACTAAACGGAGTAGCCAAATCCGTTTCTCTTTAAATTCAATCCAGACGGATTAGGCTACTTCGTCTCCCTACGGATAACCCTCACCCCTTCCCCTTCCGTCCACCCATTCCAGCGGCTCTGCATCACAAAATTCCAGCGCCGATCCGCCGCCAAGAGAGAACGCCGGGAGAACGCCGGCCGACCAGAGACGGATTAGGCTACTCCGTTTCATGGAGGTATTTTTATTTTTTACTTAATATATATAAATATTTATCATTTTATAATAATATTTAGATTTATTATATATATTGGGGTGAATTGCCTTATTGTAATTGATTGATTGATGTATGTTATTAGTTTGTAAGATTTTGAATTTGATTCTTTAAATATTCATAAAAATTTGGTAATTTTTAAATTTTGATATTGTAAGATATTGTAAGATAATTTTTAAATTTTGATATTCAACAATTTTTATGTTGTAATGTTTGAAACAAATGAGTTGTTATTAAATAAATAAATTGTTATGTTGTAATCTTTGAAGCAAATGGATGTTTATCCGGGACCTATTTCACGAGACGTTTTAGTTCTTGAAGGCGGAGTACATAGGTGTGATGCGGTTTGGGGGGACGAAGAATATGCCAAAAAAAGTCTAAAGTGCCATAGGACTTGTTCTAGTATATATCCGAGGACTCTTGTTGCTAATAGACCACCTCGTGTTATAGAGATCTTACAAGATTATGGATTTTATGGGGTGGAGAAAGTGGGTGGATTACAGTTAGATTGGGCTCTGATCACTTCTTTAGTGGAGAGATGGAAACCCGAGACCCATTCATTCCATCTTCCCTTTGGAGAGGTGGGAATTACGCTACAAGATGTTGAGGTTTTACTTGGATTGCCCGTTGATGGCATTCCATTGTCGGGGGGCACTAGTCGATCAAGAGATCAGTGGATTCAGATTTGTCATGACACGATGGGTTTTAGACCCGAACCTTCTGATATTACATCTTCTACGATTAAGATATCTGCAATTGATCCGAAGGCGCTGACAGAGCATAGTGATGAAGTTGATTACCAACAGCATGCTAGAGCTATCATGTTTAAGTTGATGGGTGGCAGCTTATTTCCCTACACGACGGGAAATAAGGTTAGTTTGTATCTGTTGGAGGTAATCATGGGTGACTCTGTACTGGTGCGGGGTCGTGCCATAGGTGCTGCGGTTCTTAGTTTCTTGTATCGTAGTATGTGTCGTGCGAGCATGACACATGTATCTCAGATTGGAGGGTGTCTTATCCTCTTACAGCTTTGGGCATGGGAACGTCTGCCTATGACTAGACCTAGGGGCGTTGTACCATTGGAGCAGTTGGTTAATGTTCCATATGGAGTCAGGTATATTTCATTTATTTATGTCTATCATGCATTTACTCAATTTATTTTATTCATGTTAATGTTTAATCCTCCATTGGTAGATGGGTGTGTTATCATCAGTGGTTAGATTGTACGACACACTCCTTACGAGCGTACAGAGACCAGCTAGATAGGTTGCTCGAGGGAGAGGTAAGTACAAAACACATCACAGTGTTATGCATACATATTATATTTTAAATGTCTATTGTATTCATTTTTTTATTATGCAGTTTGTTTGGATGCCCTATCCGAATGTCGATACCCTACCACCCTGTTGTTTAGCCGGACTCCGAATATGGATATCACGCATCCCTTTGATCTACGGATATGTCGTGGAGATGTACTATCCGGATCGATTTTGCAGACAGTTTGGTGCCCGCCAACGTGTTCCTCTCGATGTTGTGTATGATCGACATCTACATAACATTAAGTCGACCACTATGGAGCTCGGAGACAATGAGAGACATTATTTAGGTGTATGGGAGGGACGTTACGCTGCAAATGTAGTGATGGAATTTGGGATGTCGGATGCCACGCCTGAGTACCGTCTGTGGTATTACCTGACGGTATTATGCGTAGCTATCCTGTATGGCAGATTGCCATCAGCACCTTGATCCAGGTAGGCACCCGGATGGTTTTGTACCCTCTCACGAGGTACTGCGAGTTCATGACTTGTTAGGTGAGTGTATACGTGCTCTTGGACATGCATCTATCCTCGATCATCCACAGCAGCAACCAGTATATAATCCAGGACATATTCGGAGAAGGGAAGATAGAAGGCGCGATGCACCTCTTGTAGGGGTTAGCGTGGCGGGCGTGGTCAGCGTAGGTTGCAAGTCGAAGAAGAAGAGGTTCACACCCCGGTCCAATCCCATCGTATGTCTCAAGACGAGGATGCCACTGACGATGACTATGTTGAGAGCGATACCCACACACCCTCTTTCACTGTTGAGCCATCCACTTCATATACTCCACGATTCAAGGTTCCAGATCCTACACAACGAACGTATCGTACGTCATCAGTCAGGTTTGATGGAGATTATGTGTTTACTCAAGAAAGTTAACTCGCGAATGAGTTTGGACAATATCTCTCCAGCACGACACCATCGATTATCCCTCATACATTTGGTAACGTTGAAGTGGAGGAATGGGAACAGGATCTGCGACCACGCCGCACGCGACGTGGGACCCGATGTGGTACTGGTAGCCATTATGTTTAGTATTTTCCTTTTATTTAATATATTTTTTATTTCGGTTATGTATGTAAACTTTAATTATGTAGACATTATTTATCTGTAGCCATTATATTTCGTATTTTCTTTTTATTTCACCTCCCAACTAACAACTCCCACCTAACCAATTATTTCCCCACCCAACTAACAACCCCCACCTAACCAATTATTTCCCCTCCCAACTAACAACCCCCACCTAACCAATTATTTCCCCTCCCAACTTACTACATTCCCCTGCTCCCCTTATAAATATACTCCAGCATCTCCATTTCTAACACACCATCACCATTCTCTACACACTAAAATAAACAATGTCAGAAGATAATAGTATACTACTAGTAGCTTATTGGAGTGGTGAGATACAAGTTATAAGTAATGAAGTTCAATACTCTGAGCTTCCGAAGAAGTCTTTGTTGTTCAATTCTGATATATCTTACGACACCTTTCTTGGTCAAATTAGTAGTGATGTAATTCAAGACGGATTCCAAGGCGTGGAATCTGTCTATGGTAAATTCCCCAGACATCAAGCAGGGGTTTATGTTGGTTCACGACCTCTCCCAATCAACGACGAACCAACATGGCGGCATTTTTTACGAAAAGCATCACGTGAATACGATGCAGTTGAAGTATTCATCGTGGTGTCTAAAAATGTTGAGGAGGAAGTTGAGGTGGAAGAGGATGGTTATCCATTCTTTCAGCAACCAATGGATCAGCCATCTTCATCCCATTACGCTCAACACCTTGATAGCGATCCAGATGATGCTGAGTACGTTGCACCCTTAGAGGAAGATGAAGGCTCTTCAGAAGAGGAATAGGATATATCATCAGATGAAGGAGACGATGGAGACAACGAGGTTGCAATGCCACATTTAGAAGAATTCCAACGACGCAAAACGCATAGATCTTTGCAACCAACCTTCCATGTACCAATTATTGAGGTTGGTAATACGTATCCTTCTTTTCAAAGTTTACAAGAAGCTGTGTCATTACGTAACATTGCAAAGCATAGACACTTTCGCACAGTTGCGAAAAGGAGTCGTTATTGGAGAGCTAGTTGTGTATACACCCCCCAATGTACTTGGTTCATCCAAGCCGCAGAGAATGCAGGGACAAGTATTTGGACCATAAAGCAATACCAGGGGTACCACCAATGCAGACCCGATTACACAAGAGCAAAGGACGACAAATTGTTAACAAGTGAACTCATAAGTACCCTGATTGGTCCAAAAATTAAAGAAGATGCTGACTATAAAGTCAAACTCATTATCAGGGATATTTATGAGTTGTTCTAGATCTCTGTGTCTTACAAGAAGGCATGGTGTGCACGATTATTAGCCATCCAACGAATGTATGGTAGCTGGGAAGGGTCGTAACATAAGTTGGCTCCCTTGCTCAGTGCAATTATGGGGTCAAACCATGGAACTGTTGTTGATTTACAAATAATGTCAACTGATTCACCAACTTCTTTTCAGTTCAAGTATGTATTCTGGTCCTTTAGGGCATCCATAGATGGATTTCACTATTGTCTTCCTGTTATTTCAGTAGATGGAACTCACTTATACGGCAAGTATAAGGGATGTTTATTACTTGCCATGGCAACGACGGGAAATGGTGAAATTTTTCCCCTTGCTTTTTCCATTGTTGATGCTGAAGATGGTCCAAGTTGGAAATGGTTCTTGACGAATGTCATGCGTCATGTCGTTCCCCCACATCGTCGTGTNGGTGGAGGTCGAGTGACTCGAAGATATTGTCTCCGCCACCTACGCAGCAATTTCTGGAATAAGTTCCGAAGTAAGAAGTTGCGGACCTTGATGTACAAAGCTGGTAAAGCCCCGAATAGAAGTGAGTTTGACCAGTTGCTACTCCAAATAGCATCCAAAAATCAAGAAGCCTACAACTGGCTTAATGCCATTCTAGAACACAAGTGTGCTTTGTCACATGATGAAGGTGGGTCACGTTATGGTATAATGACTACAAATTTCTCAGAAAGTTTCAATCATGTCCTTAAAGGATGTCGTTGTTTGCCAGTATATGCCATTGTGACGTTCACCTATGATAAGCTGGTCAAACTTTTCGCTGAGAGGCGAACCAATGGGTATGTATGGCAGCAATCCGGGTACAATTTTCCTATGAATGTGTGGAAATATATTAGGAAAAATGAAGAAAATAGGCTGTATTGTCGTGTTGTGCAGCACCACGCACAACAAGGGATATACTCTGTGGTGGTGGATGGGTCGTCCTACATTGCTCAACGGGAGACATTTATGGTGAACTTAAATGCACGAACATGCAGCTGTGGTCAATGGGTAACATTTCACCTCCCGTGCAATCATGTCCACGCAGTATGTCATTTTTGTAATGTCACCATGGATCATTTGATTCCAAATGTTTTTTCAATTCAGTCCTACATCAATGCTTACTCTGGCATCATAATGCCGCTACCGGATGAGTCTCAATGGCCTACTCCAGAGTACGAGATCTTGAGGCCAACACCACGACAGACCACACGAACCGGCCGACGTACGAGAACCCGCTATCCGAATAACATGGACTATCGACCACGGAGACATCGTAATGAGGAATAGCTTTGTCATGAATTTCAATTATGTCTTAGTTTATGTATTATTAAATTTTACAAATAAGTTAGTCATGGATTGTGTTTTGATTTCTTCTTTTTTATGAATAAATTGTTATATGTACTCTAGCAATAAAATTATTGTGTTTTGTCTTGTTCTTTTAATATCGTTATATAAAAATTTAAAAATATAATATTTTAATAAAATATAGTTAGAAAAATTAAAAAAACTTTATAAAAATGGATTTAATTTGTTAAAAAGGTTTATAAAAGAGGAGATAAAATAACTAAAAAAAATTTAAAAGGGAAAAAAATTGGAACAAAGCAACAAATCAGTTTTTAAAGAAAATTACAAAAAAAAAATAAATATGGGAACAGATTAGGCTAATCCGTTTGGTAATTAAATAAGTGGAACGGATTAGCCTAATCCGTTTGGTTAAATAATATGCATCAAAACAGATTAGCCAAATCCGGTTGGTATTTTGGCGGAAAGTGCACTTCTAAATTACATATAAAGGAATGAGATGCAGCGTTTTTACACAAACAGGGAAATTACCCGAAAAAGTAAGGGGTAAAAGTGGTTTTTTAATAAGAAAGGGAATGACTTTAAGGGACGCAATTTTTTTGAAACGGGACTGACTATATGGGACGGAGGGAGTATTATTTATTTTGTAGTAAATATATGATAATTAAAGTTGACAAAATAAATTTGTAGGTTCAATATTGGTAGAGCCGAAATTTCATGGGGAGAAAGAAAGAAATATTATTTCTTTCCTAAAGTCCTAAATGGCATATACTAATAGGATTAGGAATGAGGATTATGTTTCTTATATATATACGAGATGACCCATTTCCGTTTTTCACACCTTTCTTATGCCACCTTCAGAAATAAGAGAAGAAATTTTTTTTCTTAACTCTTACTCCAAATATTTTATATTTTAGAAATATTTAAGAGAAAAATTACTAGCATAATTTATCTCTAAGAACATCGTTCATTGTTCGTGTATACACACTAGAGGTCTGATATTTTGTAGCTAACTCTTGGACGAATACCTTCAACCATACAAACTTGCTTGCTCTGCAAGAAAGGTATATTATTCTATTAATAAATTATAGTTTTCATACGGTGATCTTGGGTGGAAATTGTTATGGAAACCATGTTTTGGACTTTAAATTTTTGTTTTTCGCTTCCCTGTTCAAGCGTGGTTTCCCAATTGAATCGGTTTGTGTCCAACCATAAACCATAATGGATGGCTTTAATTTGCACAAGCCATAAACAATTTACCATTAATTTCCTCACAAGTTACACCGAACTGACAAAATATTTTGCCATTTTCTACAAGATTACGTGATTTAGGTCATCCAAAAATTAACGCAATCGCGAAGCTCATCCATGTTTTATTAACTAGTTTGTGTCCAATATGAATTGTCAAACTTAGCTAAATGTGCAAGCTAAAGGTTTGAATATAATGGTCAAGTCTTTAATAACCATAATTAATGTTCAATCCCAGGGTTCCCATGCCACGTGTTGTATTAGTTATTCATTTGTTCCAAAATGGAACATGTTGTAAAACTTCAAACCGCCCTTCCTAAAACCCATACTTAGCGTAATCTAGCTTTTGAGATTTTATTTTGTTTTCTAAGTGCGGAGTATTTATTTGGATGAAAGGTTATATCCAAAGTAAGAGTATGTTCGGTTTTGGCGGTTCGGTTGCCACCCAAAACCAAAGATAAAACGGAAAGTAAATTGGCGGTTTGGTTTTGCATAAAAAATATATAAACTGTTGGTTATTCGATTCGGTTTTATACGTTTTTTTATTTCGGTTTTTTTCGGTTTTATCGGTTTATAAAAGTAGAAATTTATAAGCATTAAACAATTGTAAAAACACTAACTCGATGAAACAATAACAATATTTAGTGTTAGCTTTGATTTTTTGTTTGATTTTTACACAAAAACAAAAACCAAACGGAAGGATATTGTTCATTTCGGTTCAGTTTTACAAAAAACATATGTGTTGAGTGCCCAACAAACATTCAGAAGATTCCAAATATTTACAAAGACATCGTATGTAAAATCAATTACGAAGAATTTATATTTTTTGGTATAATACTTTCATTTTCATTATAAATCAAAGTATTTTTATGTAAATTACTCGTATCAATTTTTAATGTTAATATAATTCTATATTAGGATTAGCTAATGGTGTTCATATTCTTAGGTTTTTTAAAAGTTTATAATAATATGGCTAGAATGTTTAATTAATATTTAAGAAAATAATTTTAATCGACTAGTAATTTATTTGCATTTATATTTCTATGACTTTTCTACATATCACATACATTCATATAAATAAAGTGAAATATCTAAGAAAGTTCGGTTTATTCGGTTCGGTTCGGTTTTTCAAAGTGAAAACCAAAACAGAATCAAACGCTACCGGTTCGGTTCAATTTTTTTACATTCGCTTTCGGTTTTTTCGGTTCGGTTTTTAACTTGGGAGTTATTACAAGAAAATCAAGGGGATATTGAAGTAACTAGTACCACAACCGTGCGTTGCACGGGTCATATTTACGTTATTAGATTAAGATCATTTTTGAAAAATACAAATTAATATCTAATAGATAGATTTTATTATTTTCAGGTACAAAATAATTAAAAATTATTGAATTTCAATATTTAACACATACACTCCTTCAAGATAATCTCTGTCATAGTTTTTGTACTTAAACCTGGAACCAAGATAACATCATTCGTTGGTATTTTCAATGTCAACCACATCACCAATTATCTAATAATATCTTTTTTGCAATTAAATCTTAAATTTATGTGTATAGTTTTAAAAATATAAATAAGTCAAATCAAAATTTTGGCCAGAAATTTTGTTCATTTTTAATGGTTTTTTACCATTTTTCTTGCTGAACTAATAATAAAATGGAGAGTTTTATAAACCACATAAAAATAAAGGAATATTATTTAAAAACATAAAAAAATTAGAGAGGCTAATTACGAAAGTGATTGAAAATGACCGTATTTATAGTATGAAAATTTTTGTTCCTTTTTTTCTATTTAATGGCATCAATTTTTGTTATTATTTATAATTTTCGGAACAAACCTAGCTAATGGAAACTTTTTAAATATTCACGCCTCTATTTTAGGGTACACTATAATTAATGGTAAAATTCACATTTATTATTTTTGTTGTTGTTATTATTATTATTGTTGTTGTTGTTGTTGTTGTTATTATTACCATATAAGTATGTGCAAGTAACCGTTGTTAATTGACCAAATAGAAGACAAATTACCATTTCTAAATTCAACACTTACCATATATTATCTCACGCTTATATATATTTTTTATATTCTTCCAACAAAAATAAGGTATAATTATCTTCTACGTTTGTCATTATTATTACACTTATTATCATGTTTATTATTATTTTTATTATTCTTATTATTATTACATTTATTATTATTATTACGATATACACATGTATTTTGTATTCTATCAACAAAAATAAGGTATAATAAATTTAGCTTATTAATAAAAACTAAAAATTTTTATTAAAGAAATGAAAACTTTGTATTAAAACATACTTTGACTTCTTTTGGGAAATGTATCAATAAGCCTTGTCAGCCCTTTCATAATAATAAGTACTCCCTCCGTCCCAGAGTATTTGTCCACTTTCATTTTTACACACCATCCAATGCACTTCTTTAATCCATTTTATCTTGTAATTTGTATATTAAAAAATTATAGAAATTATATATTAATAATCTATATGTTAAGACAAATCAAACAAGATCACACATGACTATATTTAGGCTTACATGTTGAGAGAATTTGATGCGTCAAAGTGCTTAAGCATTGACAATGGCAAGGAAAAAATAAAATGCCACACGGTGATATGGATTATTTCAATCAATAACAAGTAATCTAGTCATCGTGTGGCAAATGAGTAGAGTGTCTTAACATACAGTGGCAAGTCGTTGTTTTTGTCTATTTTTGCACTTTTTAATGATTTTTAATTATAAAAAATTATTTTAAAAATCTATTTAATTATTAAAATATGTTTACTTCTTTTAAAAAATATTTTTTTCAAAAATTACAAATATTAAAAATATTAAAAATATAAAAATGGGAAAATCATGCCTTGCACATGGAATGATAAGTGTGGTGGAATGACCATGGAATGCCATGATTTGAGTGGAATTTGCTGACATGGCATGGCAAGGCAAGGCATTGCCTTGCCATTGTGAATGCTCTTAGATGAACAGTTCCAAAAGTCAAAAGTGGACAAAAACTGGGGGACGGAGGGAGTATAATTTTGGGACACAGTATAATTAATGACGTCTCTTATTTTATAATTTATTATTTTATCAGAACAAACCTAGTCCTTTAACAAATGAAAACTTTTTAGTAAAGGAGTCTATTTTGCGGTATACCATAATTAATGGCACCATACACATTTATTATTGTTATTATTGTATGGTACATCAAACACACTCATCTTTCTGTAATTGTTTATATTTTTAACATTTATGGTTAAAGTATAAATTGGAGACCGCGAAAAGTCAAATGAGAAAATCATTTCCGAACGGATGGAATATTAATATAACGTAATTATATCAGTGGCTGGGTTCTAAAGCCACTCAAAAGAGGTGGCTACAAAAGCCACTCACCCAATTGGGACACCTACAGTATTCTGATCCATTCGCAAAATTGATAGTTCCTAACCCCTCTAGCCCCCGGTAAATTCCCTCCGGGTTCGACCCAAACTCATCCCCTAACCACGTCAATTGCAGGGTGCAAATTTAGTTGAGAGTCAAAAAAATTAACATCAAAGGTAAAAAATTAACATTATTTATATTTATTTTAATAATGTATCTTTTAGTTTATAACCAAAATATTCATAAAAAGTAATAAAAATTTATTTCCTCTTTAAAAGGTAATAATGTGCCGTAAGTGAAATTAATTATCTCTATAAAAGGTAATATATTACCATAAGATTGAAAGCTAAGCGTAAAATTTTTAAAAGCTATTAAAACCTTTCCATAATTAAATTGAAATTATATAAAAGATATATTGGGCAATAGTGTAAAAAAGTTTCCTAAAAATAAACGTTATTTCAAAACTATTTCCATTCTTACCTTTTTTAGCTTAGTTTGCTATTTCAACGTAATACATGCCTAACAAAAAATAATATATTTATATAAAAATATTCAACCGTTTAATAATTATAAATTATTAAACACGTGAGCGTTCTATTTCAATATTATTAAACACGGAAACTTGATATATTATTAAATATTCCATAATACAATATGTCATATGCACAATTATTATTAATCATTACACATGTAAACATTACTCCGTATTAATTATTAAGCACAATTATACATGGAAACGTTCCAAAGATGAATAATGGTCGTGGATCAAGATTCTGACGCTAATAGATGGTTCACAACGTAGGTGCGTTTAGGCGGGAAATATTTCCCCTGCTTTTAAGAATAGTATAGATTTTTGCAATTTAAATCACATGTTCCAGTTTACGATATTTGACTTAAGTTATTTTTAATGTAGTTTATTAGAGAACTATAGCGGAATTTTTTAAAAAATATAAATATATAAACTAGATAAAAAGCTCTACAAAATAAGAGGTGACATGACTATATTATTTTATCACATGATTAATGATAATAGGGAAATAATTGAATAAAGTTTAACCTTCTAGAATGTAAATATGCAACTTAATTTGGGATGGAAGGAGCATATTATTATTCAAATGGTTCACAACCCAAACTATAGGTTGTCCCTTTTATTATCTGAATTATTATACTCCCTCTATCATGTAGGAAGTCTCTGTGAAGCAGCGTAGCAACACTACTACAACAAAGACTTTTTAAATCGGTTATTTTGACCCTTTCAAATTGGTTTTGAACCGAAGCAAAAGCCAGCGATGCAAATGCTCAAGTTACTGTTTGCATCGGTTGTAAAATCGATGCAAAAGCCTCTTCCCAGAAATGACGCCAATTCTGGGAAGAGGCTTTTGCATCGGTTATTTGGTAATAACCGATGCAAAAGCTTAGGCATTTGAATCGGTAATTACGAAATAACCAATGCAAAAGCCTCTTCCCAAAAATGACGCCAATTCTGGGAAGAAGCTTTTGAATCGGTTATTTGGTAATAGCTGATTCAAATGCCAAAGCTTTTGAATCGGTTATTAACAAATAACCGATTCAAATAATACTTTTCCCATTTCTGGGAATAGGCTTTTGAATCGGTTATTACCAGATAACCGATGCAAAAAATAAATTTTTTCAAAATGATTTTTTTGTTTACTCCCAATAATCTACTACATTTTCAATTTTGCATAGAATTCTGTGCAAAATATACAGATTCTACAACAACAACAATTCAGCCCATCAACACAACAACAACTAACACAAACCAACAACAAACACAAATACATTCACAAAACCCAAATGCCACAAAACAAATTAAACCAAAAAAGTAAACATTTGCATTCATCACTTGTACATCTTAAAAAATATCAAGAGTCAAACAACTACACTCTTCTAAGTTTTAACAACACAACTAAGAGTCAAACAACTACACTCTACTAACATACATTTAATACTATACAATACAACACAAACTTACACTAGTTCATCGAGAAAACCCCCCGCCTTAAACTCTCTAACATCTTCTAATTCGGCTCTAGTATATGGCGAAGTAGACTAAAATACATGCAATACGAAAACAACATACAACATAAAGTTTAATAATCTATGAAAAAGAAAATGATGATAAACACTTCATTACTTTCAAAAACACACTAAAATAAACTTACATCGTATAACGGTAAAGAACATTGTGCACACATAGTGACGATTAGCCATAAAAATCGCATGGTACAATAACCACACTCAACGTTCCCTACTTGTTGGGGTACTCTAAGAGCATCAACCCAATCCGGTCGAGCCTTAAGCTGAGGCATGTGTCGTTCCCAAAGTAACCGCCAAGACCTCTAATATATGTAAAAAACAAATTAATAAGAAATTAATATCTTAACAAATAAAGAATTTCATTAGTAAGAAATAAATTTCTTAATACTTACTCGTTGACGAAAGTCTTCACCTTCATTTTCTTATGCCCTCCGGTCGCCTTGATTGAGTTTAGGAAATACACTTTGTTTTCAAACAAACGTATTACAACTAACACCCAATGATGCCTACAATTGAAAAAGCGTTAGTCACTAACTTACAATAAAAAACCGAAATACATATTGGAAATGGTTTAGAAAACATACAATATCGATATATACAACGTCATAAGTATCCAGGGTCGCGATTGATAGGTCTCGAGTGCTCTATCCAGATACTGGTGATCTCCAAAATCTACCACGTATGCCATGTTCTCCGGACATAACAACTCGACAGACGTGATGCTGTGCTCCATCATATGGTCATGCAACAATCTAGTTGTTGGGAAAATATTATAGATTTTGATGATGATGTATTTAGAATGTAATAGGGACTTAAGGTCTCCCCCAATATTCAATGTAATTTTTCTTTTTAGAAATATTGTCAAAACCGAGTTCTTGAGATTTCCAATAAAGTTGTGATATTTCTTTAAGCGTTTTGATGCCTGTAGACAGTGATATGGAAATTGGATATCTTGATCGGAAATGTCAGAGACAAGTAAGGATTTCTCAAAGCAGATGTAAATCCTCAAATCCGGAAAACTATATGAGAACCGGATGTCTCGCTACAATCCGCTGAAGGCTAAGTCACCCAAGCCGGAAGACTAGCGCGAATCTTTTTCTCACCCGGAAGACTGAGAATGACTCCTCCGGATTTGTCAGCCAAGAACCGGATGCCTCAAGGAAGATCGGAATTCTCAAAAAGCGGACAAGTGAGAAAAGACTTAGAAAAATTATCTAAGTCTTGAATGAAGAAATTCTACCCGTTGGTAAGGAAAAATCAATCTCTTGATTTTCAACGGCTAGATTGAAGATAATTATGCTGATTCAAGAACAAATGACTCGAAGACAAAGTCTGGACCTCTAAAAATGAAGAGCCTGTCCAGAATTCCTAAACAAGCACTAGAAGACAAACAGAGTAAAGTGCTACAGTTCTGAATTCTTGAACAACAGCTAGAAGACGGATTCTGTGGAAAAAGGAATCCCTCCTCAAACAA